AGATGTAATGATTCCACACTGTGGTTTAAATTTGCATTGATCTGATGACTAATGATATTGAGCATCTTTTAATTTACTTAATTGCCAACCATATAGCTTCCTTTGTGAGGTTCTGTTCAAATTGTTTGCGCATTTTATATTGGGTTCTTTATTTTCCTGTCACTGAGTTTTATGAGTTCTTTATATATTGGATACATGTTCTTTGTCAGATATGCCTTTTGTGAATATTTTTTCTCAGTCTGTGGCTTGCCTTTTTATTTTCCTAAAGGTATCTTTTGAAAAGAAATTTATTTTTATAAAGTTTATAACTTTTTTTCTTTTGTACTTCCAGAAGTTTGTAGTTTTAGCTTGCACACTGAAGTTCATGACCCATTTCAAGTTAATTTTTAGAATGGTGTGAAGGGTCCATATTCATTTCTAAAATATGAATATCTAGGTGTAGCAGCATCATTTCTTAAAATGGTTGAATGACTTAAATGTAAAAATTAATATGAAATCCCTTATTCTGTTCCATTGATCTATATTTCTATCCTCTAGACCTTAACACACTATCTTATTTTCTTAGCATTATAAGTTTTAAAGTCAGATGGTGTAAGTCCTTCAATTTTTCATTTATTAACTTGCTTTCATAATTCTCAGTCATTTGCATTTCCATATTAATTTTATAAATGTTATTTCATAGTAACTCCTTGTGAAATTTTTATTGGAATTGCATTGAGTCTGTAGATATACTCGGAAAGAATGAATATGTTAGTAATATTGAGTCTTCAAATTCATGAAGATGGTATATCTTTCATATTTGTATAAGGCTTTAATTTCTCTCAACAGTGTTCTGTATCTTTCAGTGAAGTGTCCCTTTGTTAATTTTATTCCTGTTTTGTGTATTCCTTTAAAGTAGATTTTAAAACTTTTCTATTAGTTGCTGCTTAATATATAAAAGTACAATTGATTTTTTAATATTAAACTTGTATCCTATAATCTTGCTAGTAGTTTTGTAGATTCCGTAGGATTTCGACATGAACAATCATGTTATCGCAATTGAAGATAGTTTTATTTCCCCTTCCAGGTTCTGTACTTCCTTTGCCCCCTGTTTTTGCCTTATTGCAAAGGCTAGTACCTCTATCATAATGCTCAGTAGAAGTGGTGAGTTTTTATCTAATTCTTCATCTTAGGTAGAAAGCATCAATATTTTCACATTCATTAATAATGGCAGCTAAAGGTTTTTTTGTAGATACTTAATCATTTTATGTTGAAGAAGTGCTCTTCTGTTCCTAATGCTGAGATCTTTTTTTATCCTGAGTGGATCTTCAATTTTTTCAAATGCTTTTTTTGCACATATTAAAATGATCATAGGGTTTTTCTCCTCTATTCTGTTAATACGGTAGATTATACCAGTTGTATTTTCAATATTCAACTAACCTTGCTTGCCTTCCTAAGATAATTCTTAGTTGGTTATGATGATTTATCCATTTTATATATTATTAGAAATACCATTTGACCTGGAAACTCCACTCCTAGGAATTTACCAAAGAATACAAGTTCTCAGATTCAAAAAGACATATGCACCCCTGTGTTTATTGCAGCACTATTTACAATAGCCAAGATATGGAAGCAACCTAAGTGTCCATCAGTACATGAATGGATAAAGAAGATGTGGTACATATACTAATATTTTTTAAGGATATTTGGTTCTATGTTCATGAAGGTATTTAATCTGTAATTTTTATTTTTTGTAATGTGTTTGCCAGATTTTGTAGTATAATGCTGGCCTTATAAAACAAGTCGAGAAGTGTTCCCTTCTCTATAATCTGAAATGGTTGTATAATTTTTACGTTATTTCTTCTTCAGTAGAATTCATAAGTAAAACCATCTGGACCTGTAGTTTTCTTGGTGGGAAGGCTGGTCATAATGAATTCCATTTTTTAAAATAAATATAGGGCTACTCTGATTTTGTTTCATTTTAATGCCCATTTTAATAACTGAATTTTTCAACAGATTTATTTCTTTTATCAGAGTTGTTAAATATATTGTCATAAAGTTGTTTCTCTTATCATTTTTCTAGCTGTAGGATCTGTAATGATAACCCTGTCTTTCATTTCTGATATTGATGATTTGTTCTCTTTTATCCTTCTTCAATCTAGCTAGCATTTAATCAGTCATTTTCAGATCTTCCCAGAAAACCATCCTTGACTTTGTCAGTGTATTTCTATTGTTTTTTCCCATTTCATTGATTTCTGCTCTCACCTTCATTATTTCCTTCTATATACTTACTCTTGAACCTTACATATTGATTTTAGACTTTTCCTACTATAAGTATTTACAAGTTACAGATTTGCCTCTAAGCACTGTTTTAACTATATTCCACAATCTTGGTATTTTAGATTTTCATTACCACCCAACTTGAAATGTCCTGATATCCTTTCTGGTTTCTTCTTTGACCTGTAATTTATTTAAAAGTGTGTTAATTTCTATATATTTGGGGCTTTCCTCTATGTCTTACTGTAATTCATTTCTAATTTATTTTGTTTGTAGTCAGAGCACTACTTGATGACTTCAAACGTTTTGAATTTGTTGAGTCTTGTTTTATGGCTCATATGGGCTATTTTGGCAAACATAACAAGTGTACTTGAAAAGAATATGTATCGTGCAATTGTTTGGCCTAGTGGTCCATCACTAAATATCAGTTAGACCAAGGTGATTGATAGTCCTGATCAGATCCTCTCTGTCTTTACTGATTTGTTTTATACTTCTATAATTGCTAAGAGAGCAGTATTAAAATCTCATATGGTTGTGGAATTACATATTTATCTGTTTAATCCTGTCAGTTTTTGCTTTATGCATTTTGAGGCTTCATTATTAGGAAAATACATGTCATACTTGTCAAGAACTGTGAAGGTTCTAAGACTTTTTACCCCAAATGAAGGCTAACAAGTTAACCTGCCATTTCATGGAGGCTGGCAAAAACATGAGGCTCCTGAGTCAAAGACAGAGGACAGTTTATTACTCACAATTTATTACTCACAGAATATCATCACTTTTTGTGCCAGTTCTCCAAGAACTAATTTCCACAGCAACAATATGAGGTTTTGATGTTGATACTCTTTTGTAGTGTTTTGTATATGGTGCCAACTACATTTTGCGGATTTTGGTGGTGGTGTTTTGGGTTTTTTTTTAATTAAAAATGTTCATACCTAAATTCCTGTCTTCTTTAGTTTCTGTATATACTTCTATCATACCTTTCTGGATACTTCATATTCAAAATTACACATATAGAAATGTGCCATTTTTCACTATTTATAAGTGAGTGTCTCTTAAATCTTCAAGACGTGATTTCTGATTATGTGAAAAAGAAAAGTACATTTTTGGAGGTGAGAGGAGTCTACATTTTTGAGGTGTCATTTCCAGTGTTTTCATTTCTTCCTAAAGGTTCGGTTTTTCCATCTTATATCATTTCCCTTCAACCCAAAGAACTTCCTTTAGTATTTTCTATAGTGCAGATCTGCTGGAAACAAATTATCTTGGTTTTCTTTTATCTGAAAATGACATTTTTTTGTTATCGTGGGATATCCTCACATAGAATAGAATTCTAGGATGATGTTTTTATTCTTTCAGCACTTTAAAGATGTTTTACTGGTTTCTTCCCTCCATTATTGTGATTGAGAGTTATTACTGAATCACATCATTGGTCACTATTTCAGTTTGGCAACTTTCAAGAATATCTTGTGTTTTCAGCAGTTTGGCTATGATGTGTCCAATGTGGGGTTTTTCAATGTGTTTATTTTAAGATTCACTGAGCTTCTTGGTTATGTAAATTTATTTTGTTTACCAATTTGGGGGAGTTTTCAGCTTTTTTTCTTCAAATATTTTTCTGTACCGTCCTCTCTCTCCTCTCCTTCTGGGACTCTTATTACACATATATTAGACCTTCTGATATTGTCCCACAAGAGTGATCTTTTAATGTAAACCTTGCCATTTCATCTTCTACTTAAAACCTTCTAATAGCTTTACATTGTAATGCCTTATGGTCTGCCCATGACTATCTTTCTGACCTCATTTTCTTACCTCTTTCCTTTTATTTGCTCTTTCTACCACACTGATTGTTCTTCTTATCCTGGAACATACCAGTCATTCTTGCCTTTGCACGTGATGTTCCATTTACCTTGAATGCTCTTCTACCAGATCTTTGTGTGACTCTCCTTTGGGTATCTGCATGTTACCTTCTCAGAGAGGCTTTCTGTCACTACCCCAACTAAAAGTTGCCCCGTTCCCTCAACAAACATACAGTTTAGACTCATGTCTCTTTTAATAGCTTTATGGAGATATAATTCACTTACCATAAAATTCACCCATTTAAAATATACAATTCAGTGGTTTTTTAGTGTATTCACAAACATAGGTAACTGTTCCTACAGTTTTACATACATGGACCTTATTTATGCTATTTCCTAGTACCAAAAGATGTTTGGCTTATAATACATGCCCAATACTTCTTTCTGAATAGATGAATTCATTAGCTCTGAGATAGTTTAGGTGTTAGCCTCCAGTAAATATGAAGGAAGTTCATTTGACTACTTTCAATTATGGAAGTATTCTTTTATCAGAGCCATGCTATTTTGAGGGCTTTCTGAAATAGCTTAACCCATATTTTCAGTTATTGCAGGAGGTTACTAAAAAAATCTCTACTGATCTGATAAAATGCAAGTGATATACTCATTTACTTAAAAAAGAAGTCATCTTTTACTGACCTGACAGTTGCTGAGGATCAAAAAACCTCTTGTAAATAGTGCTTTTCTATTTTCAGAAGTACTCCAAACATTGTTTGTTTGAATCTTTGAAGTAAATTTTAAAAAACTCCAGTACATGTTTCATTTACTAATTTGGATAACAGTGGGTTATTAATGAAATTGTGGACATCCCTTTTTCTTGTATAACTTGGGACCATACATGTTGAATGTCAGTTCTGAACTTGGTTAATCTACATTGCCCTATCTCCTTCATAGGCTTTGATGCGGCCTGGAAGAATTGATAGAATCATCTATGTGCCTTTACCAGATGCAGCAACAAGAAGGGAGATATTTAAATTGCAGTTTCACTCTATGCCAATCAGTAATGACATTAATTTGGACGAACTCATCCTGCAAACAGATACATATTCAGGAGCAGAGGTAAGATAGGTTCTCCTCAAAGTACCTTAGTGGGAGGAAAGCAGCGACTTAGGGTCATTAGCAAAAAGATTGCTTGACACCAACTGTTTTAAATAATTGTGTATTAAGAAATCTTAAAATAGGAAATATACCACATAACTGTGAAATTATATTCTCAATAAGAATAATGAGACTCTATGAGAGTATGAGTTTTAAGGATGGTAGATAAATATTTTTTTCTCTCCTTAACAATTCTTTACTTAGGTTATTTTTATTTACAAAACAAAATTCCATTGAAGTAATTGTGCATCTTTTCTACTGAAAAGGACAGACTATATTCCTCAGTACAGAACTATCTTCTGAATACCACTGATATGGATTTGTACTAGGAAATTAGTATTTTTTTAAATAAGAAATTAGGGTTTCTTTTCATTCTGAATTATCCAGCAGACTCTACCTTCAGTTTTGCTTACTATTGTTTTTATCTGTCTTCTGCAGAAACCAAAGGGATTAACACATAATAGATCATTAGTGGTACTCTGTACTATAGGTAAATTTACATGTAGAATTGGAGTGGTATCATGAAGTCACAGCTCATAACAATAACTAAAATAAATCCCAGTCTACTCATTGTTTTGTCTCAACTGTGAACTATGTATATTTGATTTTCCCCCTTCAGGTTTTTCATTTCCCCTGTGGAAAAAAAAGCTGTGTAGAAAGTAGCTTGCAAAGCAGTTGAAGTGCATTCACTTTTAAGTCCTGTCTGAAACAGCAATCCTTATGAGTATCTCAGTGGCATGGCCATCCACTCAGTTAAAATGAACATACAGTTACTGTTAGCTGATTGCTCCATTATTTCTAGAACTCAGTTTTTGATGTGAGACTAAGGCCTGACATCATGTATATGTTATGTCAGTTTACAGGAAACAGCAAGGGGAAGACACCATAAATCTTTCACATGAGCTGAGTGAAGTAGAAGAGCAGTTACCAAGATATAAATATGCTTTTCTCACTTTGAAGTAATTCATGGTAGTAGCATAGAAGTGCAAAATAAAAATCAAAGCCAATGAGATTCTGTCTGGCTGTTGGGAAAAAACTTATTTGGTGCCAGGAATTACTGTACCAGCTTGCTAGTCTTTATGTGTAGTACATGACTTATTCAGTCTAAAATAAAAGCACATTCATTTCTGATTAATTTTTATGTAAAAACTTCTAAAAATTGTTATAAGAAAAGTAGCAGAAAATTCCATCCCTCCTTAAATTACATTTTTGGGTCCCATAGTGCTTGGGTGGGAAAAAAGTGTCCCACTGTGGTCCTAATATATAATCCATATATTATTACAGCATCATAGAAATTTTCCAGAGCTATGTCTTAGTAGTTCTAGGGTTTTTCAATTTGGACAAAACAGGTTTGTTCCACATTTTTTGTTTTGGAGAGGGTTTTTTGGTCTAAATATTTAAGTAATTTACATAGGTGCCCTGTTGTATGATAACTATTTTTTTTAAGTCTTAATAAATAAGAAATTTAATACGTAACATTTAGCTTTAGATAAAATATAAGATCCCATCTCCCCCCAACCCCACTTCCACCAAAATGAAAACGGTGCTGCAGTGTTGAAGCCATTATTAATTCTGATTGTTTTTTCATAGAAAGGCAAATTCAAAACCAGAAAGTCAGTCATCTGACTCTTATAAACTCATTGCTTTACCGTTGATATAACCAATTTATTTCCTCTCCAGGCTAAGGCCATACATACCCTTCAGCGCTTAACCTACTACATAGTGCATATTTAACAAACACTTAACAAACTGGAAAAAAAAAGGAAAAAAACCACTTAAAAATTATATTTAGGAAAAATAGTCTTCCCATTTTCATTTATCCTATGAGGAGCCCTCTAACTTTCTAGCAGTGCATCCTGCTACAGGCACAGCTGCTTTTTCAGAGTTGGCGAGTGTCTCTGCAGTCACTTTTGGTATAAAAATGAAAATACTAATCAGTTGATTGTCCTCACAGGAGACTAGTATAATCAATACCATATAAAATTAATTTCATTTAACTGTATGCTACTACTTGTATGAACAAGAATTTGGCCAAGTGAACGAGAGATGAGGAAATTGTTGGCATAAAATGTTTATTTCAACTGTAGTGAGTATTTTTTATATTTATTTTAATTAAAAAGTTGTAGAGGATGATTGAGATGGAGATGATATTCGTACTTTTAATGAGTGGGATGGTGGGATACTTTAAAAAGGTTTTTCTTTTCAACCTTTGCTTTATTTTGCCAGACAACATTGTTCTATAAAAGCTTACACAGGCCCAGTGTTTGAAACAGCTCATCATACCCTTCTGAATTACCTCTGTTTTCCCTACCTGGAGATGGCATACAGAGGATCGAGGCACTGATTTGGTCCTCAGGGGAGTCCTAAGAGGCAGTCTGCTGCCAGCTGGAAGGGGAATGCAGTCAGTAGGGAACAGCCTCCAAGGAGAAGCTAGAGCATAGCATCCTTCAGCTACTGCTGCTTCCCACAACTCTCCTGTGGGCAGGACCTCATTGTCTTTGGCTTCTTGGCTGGAGCTCCCAGTTAATGAGAAAACATGTTGACCTTAAAAAGAGATGGTAATTCAGTTCTGGAGGAAGTAAGTCTTTTTTTGTTTATAGCCATTATTTTCTCTAGCTCTGATTTTTGTTTTTTAAGTTATTTGTAGCAGACTCCATTTTTCCACTTGTCTTTTATCAAATTATCCTAGTTACTTTAGGAAGACTTCTGCCCACCAACAGAACAATCATAAATGCATGCACATGAGAGCCATAACTAAGTCTGTTACCTGTGTGCTATATGCCTGGGAACAGAGGTGATGAACAAGATATATAATTTCCTCTCTATTAGGAATTTGCTGATATAGGCAACAACTGTTAACTATAAAATTTGGGTTGAATGCTTAGTTGCATTTGGATGCTACTCTCCTTTTGGTGATTATCTCGTTGAGTGAAATTGATAATATTTCTAAGAGTCAGGTATAGACTACACTTTGTAAATAATATAGGTGATCACAGCATTGATTTCATATATTAAGATTTGAGGATTCAACTTCCAAGAGAGGCAATGAAGTGGGAAAAAAAAGAATTTTAATGTTGCAGTTGAGTAGACTTCTAATAGACTTGTAGCTCTTTTCTTTCATAGTGGTTTCAGACAAGTTATTGAACTTTTTTGAACCCCCCGTCTCCTCATTTGTAAAATATCTACCTGATTGAAATTGTTTTGAGGGTTAAATGAGGTAACAAATGTAAAGACACCAAGAAACCAGGCCTGACCCATAAACAGTGCTTCATAAATGTTATTTACCTTCATCTTTTCCTCCTCCTACCAGTCAGTATTTATATTTACCACTAAAGCATTGAATGATACTGCTTCAGGATGACGACGTGTATGTTTGTCTTGCCCTGAGTTCTGTTTTGTAGTCTATGCTCTCCTGGGACTAACAATATCTCAGGGTCTTCATTGCCAGCTTGACATTAAAAATCATCTTGCAGCATGCCTCATTAATTCAAGGGGGGTTCTATTCAGTGTGCTTAAGCTATTATAGCTAATAAAGGGAGAATATTAAATTAATTTTCTATCTTACTGATTAATATTCCTTCTGACATCCTCACTCTTTCCTCCCACACAGTGAAAATAGAAGGAGTAATTATAGCCACTTAAGATGCCGGTACTCTTGCTACATCAAGTCTCTTTGCCAGTTTTCCCCAGGCTAAAAATCAGGATCAATGTATTAGAACCTGGCATACCTTGACTCTTTTTATCTGACCAATCAAACAAATGTGAGATAGGAATAAAGATCTTAAAGCAGGACAGGTCTCAGGCCTTCTCCATAGAGTGCTGTTAGCAGCTGGCAGCAGTGTTCCTTTCCCGAAAGTGAAGCAGAGCACCCCAGTGCTTAGCAGCCTCCTGCAGACAGCATACAACCTGCTTGTCTTGTGCCTAATCAGAAACTGCCCTGTGAAAATGTACTGCTATAGCCAACTCTTCTACTGTTCTTATTTGGGATCTTTATTATCTCTCCACTCTTTCTTGTACATTTACCCTACAATTCTCTATCTATACCCCAGAATCTCAAAATATTCTTTGCTTACATAACCTACTGAAATCACTGCTTTGTGACGTAGATGGCTTCTCCTTTTGAACTTCTTTACACTGATTTCTGTTTCACTTGTTTAGCTCTTATCATATTTTCCTTCTAGACTTGACCTTTGAACAATGCAGGCATTAGCGGCCAACCCCTTGCACAGTTGAAAATCCATGTGTAGCTTTGACTCCCCCAAAGCTTAACTACTAATAGCTTCTTGTTGACCAGAAGCTTACCAATAAAATAAACAGTTGATTAACATATATTTTCTACGTTATATGTATTTTGTACTGTGTATTCTTACTATAAAGTAAGCTAGAGAAAAGAAAATGTTTTTTCAAAATGTCATAAATCTCCAAAAAATTTTTCCAGTATATTCTTTGAAAACAATCCACATAGAAGTGGGTCCATGAAGTTAAAACCCATGTTGCTCAACAGTCAACTGTAATTATTTTAATATGAACAGCTGTCCCATCTCCCCAAACAAACCAGGTTTTTTACTTCTTGGAGTCCAGCAAAGCAACCAATATGAAACAGTCAGTGGATGGTAATGTCAGATGAATGAGAGATTTATGTGTTGATTCTAAGGCATTTGGCTAACAGAAAATGTCAGTTTTAACATTCACTAAAGTGGCATCTTCTACTTAGATGTCTTCTTGCATGCGTTATCTATTTGAGCACCTTCACTCTATGGGAGCAGTGTTCTGTAGCAAGAGCACAAGAGCCAAGCAAAACCATTGATTTGTCTGAAGTTCTACAGCAAATAAGTATAAACTCAGGACCCGAGACCAGATCCTTCAACTTCTTCTGAAAGGCTCTTCATGATTTCTTCATGCCTCTGAATTAACAGAAGTCTTTGAAACTGTGTCATTGTTCCCTTTGACATTTCTGAATT